TCTTCAGAGATAGACCTGTACATACATTTCTCCTTCCTTCCTAGGCTTCTGGCATCCATGTTCAGCCCTTACTTTGCCCATCATGTGTTCATGCAACTGAAATAAAATCATTTTAAAGTTTTAGGCAAACAATATGCACCCCCCCCCAAAAACAGCTTACTAAAGGATTATGGGTTGGCAGTGGTTGAAGGGAAAGGTCCACACAAGCCAGGCATATTCAGTAGAGGCCAACAGGTAGGTTGATCATGTTTACAGCAGCAATCTCAAGGTCTTGCTACATAAAGTTTAGCAGGGTTCATGCATTATTTCCTTGTAGTGGCTGCTTTCTGGTTTCTTGTTGGCAATACCCTAGTGCAGATGGGTTGCTTTACAGATCAAATCCCTCTGTGCTCTGTCCCCATGAGGGAAGAGGTGCTTTGGGAAAGACTGCGAATTTGTGCTTTTCTGCGACTGGTGTGTATGTGCTTCCCAGTCCTTAACAGGCACCACTGACTAGAAATGAGAAAAATCTGCATTTTTCTGCAGTAAAGAGAAAACCCAGATTCCTGGCTATAACTGTGTTTGTTTTCCTCTCTTGGTTGTGGGACAGTGTATCTCTGATCACTCTGATTGCTTTGGAGATCCTTCTACCTGGTCATGTGCATACTTGGTCTTCATGTATTATCTTCTGGAGGGTTTTTCTCATCCTCAAAGCCAGCATGTTAGCCATTAATTTATAGACCATGTTAAGAAGTGTAATCAGTCTCCAGATTTTCAGGAGTTCCTTCTCCCCTTTCTTGAAGAGTAAGATCATAACACCTCCTGTAAAATCTTTCCCTGACTCTCGTTTCTGCTATTTCCTCAAAATGTCCACTCTATCCATGCTCAAAACTTTTCATAAAATCCCATAAGCTATCTGTCTGCTCCTGGTGATCTCCCTCTTTTAGAGGTTTTTAAACACTCCTCCAATTCCTTTAAGCTTATATTTTTTTCCATCTCCTTTGCTTCATTCTCCTCTACTATCTCTTCAGTCTCTTCCAAGAAATCCTTCACTGTCTTCCTCTCTATTTCCTTCTGGTATAGCTCTTTGTAAAATCTTCAGCAAAGCAGCATGGCTTGAAATGCTGTTGACTCCAGAACCACTCTTCATGTTCTCCCACCCAAGGTGCTTGTGCTAAGAACATTTTCACTCTTGTCTTTCATTTAAAACAGGTTTCTAACTCTTGCCTTCCTTCTTCTAGCTCTTCTCATGCCTGTCTTGATTCTACAGCTTCCTTTAGCAGCAACTGCTCTCTCTCTCTCTCTCTCTCTCTCTCATATATATATATATATATATATATATATAAAATCTCATAGTACTTCTACCAAAACTGTCCTGTGGCCGCTATGGCTCACCCAACAGTCCAAAATATATCATTGCCATTCCAGCATAAACATTCCTGTCACAATATCTGCACTGTGCACCTGCGCTCCCATGTATCCATGTGCTCATGTGACCATCACCATCACCCTTACCCATCACATAGACACGCAACTTTTTCCTATACCATAAGCTTGCCTACTCCCCATTGCCCTCTCCCCTACCCCTACCTCTCTCTATTTCTTTCCCCGCTCTTTTAGTCATCACTGTTACCACTGTCATCACTTTCTTCCCTCATATCACCGTCACTGCCATTGTTACCATCATCATTATTGTCATTGCTTTCTTCAGGGGTCCCACCCCTGAACAATCTGTGCCAGCCCATCCTCTTCCAGATGATCCCTGCCATCTTCCACTGCTTTCTTGCATCTCATTCAGTCTCATTTTGATACAACAAGGCTAGGTCCATCTGAATAAGATGTATGGTAGTGCCCATTAAGTGTAGTCCCCCTCACCATTGACTCTTTTTCAAGTCATGTTGAGTCACTACATCACATACACATACAGCCACTACTTCACTTCTTCTTCAGTCCCACAGCTGGGTTTGTGCCTTTCTTTCGCAGTTCCAATTATTCCTATTTTTCACCAGCCTTAAATGCCTAGCAAACATCATGAAATGACCCCCTGTACAGTTCACGCAGAATCCCTCTGTTGCCTGTTCTCTTACCCTGGTACATATGATTAGCATGGCCTGCCCTCCATGAGGTGAAGCTGAATCAGGTTGCTCTGCACCTCTTGTGCATATAAATTTTTGGAGCATCCCAGAGTTTGTGATGAGAACACCCAGTTGTAGTCTTGAGTGGAGGCTAATTAGTACATGGATCCTTTGGGGGCGGAGGTATCTGGAGTCCACACACATACTGAGCAGTACTGAGCTGTGGGATCACCATGGCTTGAAATCCTGTTGACTCTGATGAGGCCCAGCCCAATGAACTATGCAGTAAATCATAAGGCTTTGGCTTTGGACTAATAGCATGCAGAAGGTGCCAAAGTGCTGTTTAAAAGTGTGTTTATGGAGTACTGTGCTAAAACTCACAACAGTTTCAAAGAAGATAACATGCATCAATTCTTGGTGAACTAAGTGTATGGGTACCTGGCAGGGGAGACACCATGATCACAAAGGTGGTTTTTGCAGGGTGAGGTTCATGCCTTGCACTCTGGGCAGGCTAACTGCTGTGAGTTTCCCCAAATGCAGGAAACAAAACTGCACAATTCTGTGGCAATGGAGGACTGCTTTCTCGCTTTCCCCCTGGCTTGCATCTTGACCTTTTGGCTAGGAACAAGTGAAGCTAAGGGGTCTGGGGCTTGCATGTAGGATTTGGGGAGTATCTGAAGCCCCAGACCAATGGGTCTGTATGGCAGGATACTTGCCCAGTTGTAGAACCACACAGACTTGAATGATTAATTTAAAATGTATCGAAGCATCCACACCAGAAGACAGGCAGGTGATCCAGGCTGACCTGGACAGGCTCAGCAAATGGGCAGACGAGAACCTGATGGTGTTTAACACCGAAAAATGCAAGGTTCTCCACCTTGGGAAGAAAAACCTGCGGCATCCTTATAGGCGCAGCAGTGCTACGCTGGCTAGCACTACAGAAGAAAGAGACTTGGGGGTCATCATTGACCACAAGATGAACATGAGCCTGCAATGCAATGCTGCAGCTAGGAAAGGGACCAAAACGCTGGCTTGCATCCATAGATGCTTCTCAAGCAAATCCCGGGACGTCATTCTCCCCTTGTACTTGGCCTTGGTGAGGCTGCAGCTGGAGTACTGTGTCCAGTTTTGGACTCCACAATTCAGAAAAGATGTGGAGAAGCTTGAGAGAGTCCAAAGAAGCATTACATATATGGTTAGAGGTATAGAGAGCAGGCCATATGATGAGAGGCTGAGATATGGGTCTGTTCAGCCTGAAGAAGAGAAGACTCAGAAGGGACTTCGTGGCAGCTTATAAGTATATAAGGGGTGCATATTAGGGCCTGGGAGAACATCTGTTCACCAGGGCTCCCCAGAGGAAGACTAGGACTAACGGTCATAAACTGCTAGAAAACCGCTTTGGGAAATTTGGGGTTTGCCCAAGTGAATTTGGAACTGATTTGGCCTTTGAAATGAAGTGTAAGAGTGTGTGTGTGTGTGTGTGTGTGTAATATATGCAAATTACTACAGCCACGTCTAATTTCAAGGTTATTATTTTCAAATTTGCTCCTCACTTCCATGTGCTTAGGGAGAGCAGGGTCTGCCAGTAAGGGGAGGGGGAAAGGGCTTCCAAAGGAAAAAGTTGGGTGGAAGCAGAGAACAAAGGGGCTACCTGACCTCCCAGATTTATTTTTGATGCGGTTGCAGTGGGAGAGGGACAAATTCAAGGCGAACCTCCAATAATTAGATTCTATGCCTGGAAAATTATAACAAATTTATAAATTTTCCATATATAGAATCTAATTACTGGGGGGGTCATCTTCTAATCAAGTAAACATGGTATTTATAAATTATATACTTTATTTGGAAATGTAGTATGTATCAATTAAACATAAATTTGAACACTGAAAACGCAGTAGATTTCAAAGTGCTCCACAATATGTATACATTAGATCCTCTGTACCTGGAGATTGTGCTGGTAGATGACATGCTCTGGTGGTTGTTATTACAGATGGAAAACCAAGGGTACAATTGTTGGAACAGTTTACTGAGAATCATTACAATATATCAGCTGCTTTGTACTAACTACCCATGGGCACACCCTAACCTCACAGTGGGCGCATCTACAGATGCTGCTACATTGCTGTAGCAATCCCCTTTGGCCGTGTAGCATCAGTAGGCATAAACCATGATGCTCCAGCTAAGTTACTGCAGCAACATGCTCCCTTTGTATAGTGCATTGCTATGGTGACATAGCAGCTAAAAATAACTGTGTGCTGCTGGCATAATGCATGACGGGCTTTTACTGTGCTATCATTTGCTACTTTCAAAAAGAAGTACTAAATGATGGTGCAATAACAACAGCACTGTAGGGGCACATGTACACATGCCCAGTAAGTGGAAGGTAATCCATTTCTGCTTAACCCTCAGGGAGAGAGGAATGATTTACCACAGGTTATATTCCATTTACCATGGGGCAAAGGTAAGCCCCTGGGTGGTTACTGTGGAGCAACTGATGTGTGGTTAAGCCCCGTTACCTTTATGACCCACAGTAAATTGTTCAGATGTCTATACCCTGAAGCACCAGGGGCATAAGTGATGCACCCAAAGTTACTGAGCCTGTCAAAGTCACCTATTTCTTGATGATGAGTCCAGTGCTCTGTCCCAGCAGTTCCCAACCTGTGGTATGGGTACCACCAGTGGTACGCAGACAACCTGTCAGTAGTACACATTAGCAGATTTATTATAATTACTTTACATGACAAAAAATTGCTGGTGGTACTTAAGGTTGTATTGTTTTAAATTGGTGGTGCGCAATCTGTCAGTTTGGGAACCACTGCTATATCCATTAGACCATTAATGCCTCCCATATGTATAGAAATTGTCTTAAATAGTTAAATGTTTGCTTTGTTTTATGAAGAGCTCATCCCTGGATTCAGTCAATGTAACATCTCTCTTGTTTTGCAGATGTGAAGTGTAGCTGTCAAGATGGGTTCATTGGGGATGGTTACTTCTGCAGTGGAAATCTTTTGGCTGTACTGGCAGAACGTGAAAACTTTTCAATCTTCTACTCTGTAAGCAATACTGCCATTTTCCCTCTGAAGCAGAAGCTGGGCAGGGCTGAGCCATGCTTCTCTGCAAGCTGTTGGCAAGGCAAAAAACAATAATAAGGGCTGAATGGGAGGCCCCACATCCTGAAGTTTTGCAGACAAAAACCTTGAAATAAAAGGAGAGGATGTGAAAACTCTTAAGCTCCATACTGAGCATTAGACTCCAATTATAAATGTGAGGAAATGTTTCTACTGTTGTAACAAAGGCTGAGGAGAATCTTTTTGACATGTTAATTATTTTTGACAAACCCATAGCTTTCAGCTGGCAGTCAGGGTCTGTCCTCTTTTTCAGATGTTTCTGGATTTTGCCAACATCACTCAAGATGGGCTTGACTTTCTCAACTTTCTTTCCAATGACACCACATATAAAACGCTCTTCGTACCCTTGAATTCTGGATTTGGAGACAATATGGTAAGAAATTTTGAATGAATGCTTAAGTTGAATACTGACTAAGCAGAATTATTTGTTTTAATGCAGTCTCTAAGCGACCAGATCATGAACCGGGACCCTGCTGCACTAGATACTAGACTGACACTGAATCTGAAGTAGTTGGTGTATCATTCTAATGCATAAATGAGCTGACATCATTTGTTCAGAGCATTAGAACAAAATGCCTTCTTTAGTACACAGAAACATAGAGCAAGTTGGCGGTTCTTGAATTACTAGGGCATATAAAGCCAGAATTATAGACCTAGCATGTACATCCAATGTGTAGGGATCTTCTCTACACTGTCCCAGCATCAGTGAAAAAGAGTTGGTGTCCAGTGTGCTACTAAAATGTTCTGCTTAATAAAAGAGCACTCCTGTGGCCTGCAAATGCCTGTCCCTGTTGCATCAGCTCATTCAGCATAGTCTTGAAGTAAGAAGTCAGAATTACAGTTGAGTGAACTTGATTAAATAAAATAAGATCCGGCTTGAGCTCTTTCCTCAAGTCTATGGCAGAACCACATCCGATTCTGATTTTACTTTGCCATCATGAAACTTTTTTTTTGTTTCGTCAGACATTAACATGGGAAGAGCTGAAGCTGCATGTCTCTATAAGCAATATCTTTCTCTTGAGCTTCAATCTCACAGACAGTACAGTTATACCTTCCTGCTCAGGATACAACCTTTCCATTGCAGAATCTGAGAATAGAACACAGCTCACTGTAAGTACCTATAAACCTATGGGCAGATTTTTATTACCTTTTGCCAAGTCTATGTAATTGATATTTTTTCCTGTCCAGAAGGTCCTTCTACTAAAAGAAATTACATTTTACTCCTCAGTCTTAATGATTGCTTTTCTTGCACTAGGGTTCCAGAGTGGCTAATAGTACCTTGATAGTAGAGTGGGACATTCTGGCCTACAATGGAATAATTCATGCCATTGAGAGACCTCTCCAGATGACTCGTCCTACTCTTCCTGTATATGTGGATCAGGCAAGTTGCTTGCTAATTCAGTTGAGTAAAAATGAGAATTTAAGAATGCGTGTCTGTTTCAGTTCCCATAGTAAGAGAGTAGAACCTGCTCCATTTTAATGCAGGACCCCTGCTTTACTATGGTAGGTAATGGCCTGTGATTGTGTGACAGGGTTTATTATATAGTTTTAGTACTAGGTTAAACAACAATTTGTATGAGACAATTTGGATAGAAATTATCCTGCCTCAAGCAGGGGCTAGGGCTAGATCAAGAGTGTTAAACCTTCAGTCCACAGGCCGAATGCAGCCCGTGGGGCACCCCACAGGTCTGGAAATGTGGCAGCAGGGGAGTGATGGCCATTAATATAGCCACCCTCCCCCATGCCAGATTCCCAAATCTCAAGTCCCATATGGCTGGTCAGGGCTGGGCTGGGCTATCTTCCCCTGTGAGACTGGGCCATGCCCTATGCCCCACTTCTGAATCATGGCTGGGTCACAGCCCCTTCCTTCTCCTTCCATGGGGCCAGGTTGGGGCCTGGCCAAGCTCCTTTCCCCTGCATGGATGCATTGGAGCCAGCTTGCCACCTTGCCCCCTTCCATGCAGCCAGATGGTACCCGGTGTGCCTGCCGGGTGCCAGATTAGCAACACCAGCTTGATCCAACTCACGGACAATCTAGATACTGCCAATCCAGCTCGCCAGGCAAAAAACTTGAGCACCACCGGACTAGGTGACTTCCAGAGGTCTTTCTAGGCCTACTTTTCTATGATTTTACAATTCTAAGAGACAAACCTACCTTGGATCTAGTATCCTGCTAGCCAGGATCAACCTGGGATCAAAATGCTCATGAATTGATTCAATTTAAACTATCAGTAAGTTGCAGGAGGGACAAGAGTAAGTGTAAAATAAAGGTCTTGGACTTCAGAAAGATTTACTTTGAGAAACAAAGTTAATTAAATAAGGAGTGCAACCATAGGTGGAAAGAGAAAATATTATTGGGGGGCGGGCTGAGTATGTGTACACAGACACACACACACACACACACACACACCCTGCCCAGGAGGTAAGTTTGTGGAGGGGAAGGGAGGGGGAGGGAAGGGGGGTAGATCAAGGCCCCCACAGTGAGGGAGGGAGTGGGTCAGGGGTTTGGGTGAATGGGGTCCTGAGGCCGGGGCAGGTTATGAGATGGTCGAAGCCTGGACGGCTCATCCAGGGGCACAGGGGGGCTACCACCACTGCATGCACCCTGGGAGAGGCACAGGGGGCACATTCCACCCCGGATTTGTGCATGGGGGGAGGCAGGGTGCCTGCTGTGTGCTGGGCTCTGTGCCTTGCTGCTGCTGCCTCGAGAGCTGCACAACGCTATGTGCCTGCTGCAGCAGGGTGGACAGGGGATGTGGTGCTGAGGAGGGGGTGGGTGGGGAAAAAGGTAGTGGCACTGAATTCATAAAAGCTTGAACAAGAACACTTCTTTCTCTGAAGTGAGCATTAAACAGCTCAGCTGTGTGCTCACTTCCTCTTCCTACTACCCCCAAGCCTCTGGAATTTGGAGTCCACGATCACAGCAGCAGGACTCTGCAGTGTTGCTCATCACTTCCTCTTCCTGCTTTCAGGTGTCTCTGGGATTTGTAGTTCACAGTCCAGCCAGCAGTAAGTTTAGCAGGGCAGGGCATCTGCGTACTCAGGGGAAAGGGAGTTTAACTCCCCTTCCTGGCCCCAGACTCCAGCTGGGTTTGGCTGGGGGGGGGGGGGGGGGGGGG